TGTGGCAATGTGCAACAAAGAAGATGCCCCTATGTGCCATCAATAAGGAGGTGCGTGGATCAGTAACACTCTGACTGTGGTATTTTAGCCAGTCACATTATTTTTTAGATGGCCCTATTTGCAATATGGACCCTAGGCACCTTTCTTTCCTATATACTTCCTTTTTTATTGTACCTTGAGAAAATAAACTAAAAATAATTTTAAAAAAGATTTGCAATATGAACTTTTTCTATTTTTTTATTTTATTTTATTTATTTATATCATGGTGAGTCTAGAAGATTTAGTCCTACATGAATGTGATTCTGAGTGAGTTGAGCTTGTTCCATGCTTGAGCCTGCAAAACAGCTTGCATTAAAAAGTCTCTTTTGCAGACAAAAACAAACAGAAACAAAAAAGGTAGCATGTACAAACTTACAGAATGTTCTGTATTGCATTGCTTCAACTACTAGGCAAAGCTAGCTGCTCCACATTTCACATGACTCATTCCCTGGTTATTTATGTATTAATCTATTTAATTAAAATATTTTAAACTATGCATCATTATACTAGGACAGTGTATAAAGGCATGTCCAATTAGCTATACAAACTGAAACAAATAGTGATATAATTAGTCACACAAAACTAGATAATAAGTAACATCATCACAATGATCACTGAACCGCAGCAAATCTGCTTCTCTATTCCTAAATTTAAATGCCTGTGCAAATGAAAAGCTTTGAACTGGCACTGAAAAGTAGGAGTGGCATTTTTATGGTCTGTGGCAGCTCCGGGTTTTGAGAGGCCTTTGGGCAAGACACCCTGAGCGGTGTCTTCAGTGAGTCTATTTTCTCAAGGTCTTTGCCACTGGCTTCCGTGTTGGTCGCATCATTGGTACCACTTGCTTGCTTGGCAGGGGCAGAGATGGTGAGCAAGTTGGCCGTGGCACCAACAGTTCGTTCACCTCAACACCTCAGTTGCCTGGGCCAGAGTGAGGGGTAGGATAACATGCAGGTGTTAATGACAAAGAGGATGAGCAACTGCGGGAGTTCTTGTCCGTGGGCTCACACTGGAGTATGGACCTTCCCAGGTTCCTCATCATGCTTACCGTTGACTTGGCCTTGTCTACCAGTTGCAACAGCAAAGCAACAGCATAATGCACTCCCCCTAACAGGAGTATGTGTGAAAGAGCCTTTCCTGAAGACCTTTGGTCTGAAACTCTTTGGGGCTTCAAAGGTTAGCAGCAGAACCATGAATTTGGTTCAAAAGCAAATAGTCATACACCCAAACACCTTCAGAATTGGTGCAGGATGAGTCCATCTGGATGTATCAAATTAAAAGTCTAGCCATTGCATTTTGCCAGGAAAAGGCCAAACAGCCACTGTCAGCAAGCAACAGAGCCACTGGGGCTGTCCAGGGCTCAACTGACCAAGCTGGATCAGGACGCACCTCCCCACAACAAAGCTATTGTTGTGGCTCTTCCTCTCCCCAGGACAACAACTTTTTTAATATAACAAAGCCTTTTAAAGCTAGGGATGTGCAAGGAATTTGTTTGGGGGTGGCAATCCATTGGATTCCCTGGGCTGAGTGTCCCAGATTCCAGTTGTCTTTGCAGAGGGCTGAGTCCGTGTTCCTGGTGAGTCCATGCAGCATCTGCAGGGCATTTGCTAGGTTCTCAGCCCCACTTACAGAGCAAGCAGTGCCCCTCTTCTGTGCCCAGTCCAGCTGCTGCACTCATCCAGACACTGGCTCAACACCCACATAATGTGAGTCGCATGACAGAGAGAAACAGAGCTGAGTGTTTTAAGCACACTGATAACACTTCACTCTAAAATCTCTGTTGACCCCAGACAGCCACCTCATAGTGCAGCTAAAAAGCACAGAGGATAAGATGGAATCTTGCAGGAATGCCCCCCCACCAAAAAACCCCAATGCCATAGAATGAAGCAGAAACTCCCCAGTGCTTCTCTCTGTTTTTAGTCCTGTTAGTTATGTTCTCAACCACTAGTTGCTTTGCCAGATAGAGCAAAGTTGCTAAGAATTCAAGCAGTGGAATGAAGAACTTCTGATAAATTCTCTGAAATATCTCTATTTCATTCATTGACCCAATGAATTTTGGATAGAATCAATTTTTCTACTGAACCTTGGAATAAATCCAATTGAAAACCATGTTATTTAAGTTAGAGATAACTAATTTGTTCCACAACTTGGTCTGATGATATTAAAGAATGCTGTCAATATCGTTTTTTCTTTTTAATTGCACTTTGGGCAAATCTGCATATCCCTATACTGTGATCTATTATATTTATTTTATTTATTTATTTAGGAAGCTTCTATGCCACCCCATTTGCCGAAGCCTTGGGGTGGCTCACAATAATCTCGACATTGCTTGGGATAGTCAGACCATGTCTGACGTCAGATGACAGATTAGCACAATGACAGAACTGAAGACTTAGATTTTTTTAGATTTTTGAAGTGGCCTTTGTTACCCTTTAGGTATACAAAAAGCTACACTGAGGATGTTTGTTTTTAGTTACGTCCAAGAAGGAAGAAAGTAAAGATAGAGCATAATAGAATTTAAAAAACATTGAAACAAACAACAGTTCAGTAACAGTTCTTACTCGAAGGAGTAAGAAGATACTGATTTCTATCAAACTTGGGACTCTTTTTATTATTGGCTAGAGAAACAGGACTTTGTATAGATTCAAATATGTTTTTAAGTTATCATAAATAGAAAAAAATGTGGGGGCTGACCCAGCAGGTCCAATGTTTCTGATGACTGATGTTGTTTTTAGTTTTTCTTTGTATTAGGGTTATTTTGAATAAAACTTATTAAAAAAAACAAACAAAAAACTATGGCCCAGGGGCCAGATCCGGCCCACCATGGCCATTTATCCGGCCCACCTCAGAGGTTTTAAGCACGCCGCGTGCGTGGATGTGCACCATGCGCGTCTGCTGCTGCCCGCCTCACCCCCTGCATGGGGAGGCAGAGGCTTGCTCATGAGGAGATCATGTTGGACTCGCTCGGAGAAAACGATCTCCAAGTGAGCAAGCCGCTGTGTCACTGTGCATGCCCGCCCCGCCTTGCCTCCCCTAGCTGTGCTTGCCCGCACGCCCCAGCCCTGCTTCCACGCCGGCTCCCGCCGGCATCACCTTTCCGGCTCACGCCCCGCACCGGCACCTTTCAACTGGCACCCTGGTGAAAAAGTTTGAGGAACCCTGAGCTATAGTATTTGTGGAAAGGATCCGAGGACTGTAGTAAGTCAAAAGCCAAATGCAACATTCTGTCTTTCAACAGACAGAAAGTTTCTAAAATTAGGGAGCAATCAGGAAAGCAGTTCACTGCTCTACATCTGAAAAGGCAGAATTCAGGTGGGACTGTATAATATGGCATTTCTCCATTCAACGTTCTTGCTACTAAAAATTTTTTCTGCACCCAGAAATGACTGCCTTCCTATAGTGATATTTACTGCCCAGAGCCTGACACAACCTCATTTATGTATTTACAATATTTATATTCTGCTTTACAGACCTCGGTGTCTCTCAAGGCAGTTTACACTTTTTAACTTGTACAAGAACTGTATACAAATGTATTATCACCTAACTGTGCGTGTCTACTGAGAAGTCTAAAGTTTACATTTTATTTTATTTCATTTAAAATATTTTAGGCCACCTTTCAAGGCAAGAATCCGCCCAAGGCAGACTGAAGCAGTAAAATTCCATGTAATAAAAATCCAATACATTAATAAACTTCAAAAATTCATAAAAACAACAAACACCAGCAAAGAAACCTTTTGGCCTCAACAGTATTAAAACACCTACAGCACAACTGTATCTACAAACCAGCCAAATAGTAAAACATAATTAGGGAAGGTGAAATCCAATATTCAGTACAATAAATAAGAGAATATTCACAGATTTCACACATAACAGTAAGCCAGGAATCTTGACTTATAAACAATATGATGAACAATATACCGGTGCATGGAGCTCATTTACTCTTACTTCCTTTTGATGAAGCAAGCTGTTTTTTCCTGAAATATACAACTTCTTGTTCTAAGGAATATAAATGGCAGGTGCTTACAGGTCAGAAACAACCAGGTCAGGAGAAGCAGCCATCCTGGGATGCCATGCATAAGGGACGGCATATAAAAGTTTTAATAAATAAACAAATAAATAACTGAGATAAGAGAAATAAAACTCAGATAGAACTGCCTGAGCTTGGAATGTGGTAATTCGGCAGAGGTCCCTTGCTGTAAACCAGTTTGAGCCTGTTGTACTCAGAATGTAGCTTTGTCTGTTATCAGCTCATACGTATTGAGCATGTATAAACTAAATTCATAAATGAGCTCTGTGAACTTTATTTCATGCAGAGAGTTGTTTGACTTTGCTGGACCTTTCCTTCACTGTCTGTCTGAATAAACCTTGCTTACTTCTATACTGGTATGATTCCACATGCATGTCTTAGTCTATTAAGAACTATTCCCAGGTTTAGTTTCAATCTTCATCACTGTATGTGACTGGGTAAACAAATCAGCAAGGGAAACGCATCTTGGGTTCCTTGCAGGAAAAAGAAATGTGAGGATAAACAACTGCTACTACTATTACCTTGTGTTATTCCAAAACCAAGATTATGTTTTTACATTTAAACAAATCAAGATTTGTAAACCACCAAACAACCTTGGTTGGTTGGTTCATACATAACATTAAGCTATTCCCAGCCTGGTTTGTGCAGCAGATGCGAACAGGTTATGTCACAGAAAAAAAATATTTATTAAGCTGGTATTTCAAGTTTTGTTACTTACAGGTGCAGCACATGGCATGCGTCATGTGAGAAGTGGCATGATAAAGGGGCTACTTTGTCAGGTGCAAATCCATGTTCTTTGCAAAACCTGAATATATTTGCAGGAAAGTTTTGTGGCAGTAATATGATTGTCTTCCTAGCTTTGAGTTTTCCAGTTCAAATTATTCCATCCACAAAACATTATCCATTGAAGAAAGAAAAGAAATAGCACAATACTTACTGGATCTTTTTTTACCAGGTCTTGATCAGACACTACTGCAATGAGGTGGGCAAGTGTAAACACAGAGTTAAGTACATATGAAAAAAACAAATTCTTGTGCAACGTTATCCTTTGACAGCTGAGGCTCCTGAAAAATATGCACCACAAATTGTAAATTAGAGGTTTGAGTCTGATGTCACTGTGTAACAAGCACATGCTGGAAATGCTTTTTGAAGAATGCAATCTGGCAAGAGGGAGTTGGAAAACACATGGCTGGCATTAAAACCATGGGAGCAAACCTTTCCCCTCTTTACACCTGTTTAAACCTACATGCTTTCCAGACCACTTGAAGGACCTCTCAGTTTGCATTCCCTGTAAGACTTTTATGTTCAGATTGCATAGGTCGAAAATTACCATGGAAGTTAGTGAAATATTTGTACATATATAAATGATGAACAGCATGTTTTTCCTATCCTATAAGGAAATAGTCTTATGGGAATTTATATGGGAATGACATAATGCTGAAGGAATGGGTAATCAGCTAACTGAGGAATCTAGTACTCAAATTTCCCTGAATGTTAGAGAGGTTTGGATTCATATTCTGCAGGGTTTCAATTCCTTCTTGGATCTCACAAGAATAAGTCCAATGTAGGCTTTCACAGAAAAAAAAAGACCTACAGTTCCCAGCATGCCCCAACCAGCATGGTTGGCTGGAGCATTCTGGAAGTTGTAAGGATTTTTTCTAGCTAAATTTCCCGTTTAACTGTGGTAAATATAGTCCAGATTTCCATACCCCAAAGTCTGCTTTCCTTAACCTAAGTGCAGATGATTGGACTATTAAATTACTATACCAACTGATACTGATACTAATAATGTTATTGGATGTATGAATGAAGCTTCAATAGTTAGAATACTAAAAATATCCACTGTCATTTATTTATTTCTATTCTGCCAGTGTGGGAGCCCAGTATGAGTGCATTAGGTCGGATGCAGATTTAGTCATACTTAGACTCACTGAGATCAACGGAATGTACATTAGTCATACTTTAAATGTTACTATATCTGGATCCAACTCAATAGGAATTTGCCTACTTCTATTGAACCCCATTTGCTATTTTATTTTTTATTTTAAAGCCCAGTTGCTGTGCAGTTGCCACTCACGCAATACAGAGTTCCCCCTGGAGTGGTTTGATTTTCACAGTCTAAATACTGCAGCGTTGCGCACAAACATGGCAGTGAGTTGCTTAATAAAAGGGATAGCAGCAGTCTTTGAGAGACCACAGAGCTTTGTTCTTTCTGTGACTAAAACTGTCCATTTATCCCTGCCCTCTGCTTGCAGTTCTTCAACTAATTACTAATTGGTAAGAGACTTTGAAATTTGGTATCTTTCATCATTAAAACTGTTGAAGTAATGATATATTTTACCCTTGTGATAATGTTAAAAATTGTAATTGGTCATCATAAAAGTAAAACATTTCAAAGAGTCCTCAAGCAAAGAAAAGGGGAAAATGGAAAAATTTAAATTCCTTTAAAATAAAAAAAAAAGTTTGGATTTTTTGGTTGTATGCCTTCCTCCTGAAAGTCTCAGAGAAAAGCCAAAATCACTTGCTTCTATGTTGGCCAGTTCTCTCTGCTCCTCCATACACACAAAGAATTCCACTTTCACATCACCAAAACATTTCCCATGTTTAAATTACTGATAGTGAGTACAGTAGATGGTTCAAGATTGACCAATTCCTATAAAGTGGCCTTGAGCAGGCAACCTATTTGGAAGAGGGGTTCTTTAGTAGTCATCTGTTGAATCTCAGAACAGTAGCTCCTGGGGATTGATTGACTGATTGATTGATTAAAGATGCCTATTGCTTTATATGATCAATGGTGTGACATTGGGTGAATAGTCACAAGATCATTTGTCTTAGATTAGTTACTCCTAAACACATGTTCACCTCTGTTTTCCACAGATAAGCAGGGTGGATTCACAATGGCAAAAAGATAGATCAATAGTTTGCAGCATTTTGGTTTGATTGCTGAGAATTCAACCTTGCTTTAGATCTGTGCTCCGAACAACTTCAGTGTCTTTGCTTCTAGATTCACCTTGGAAGCCAAACAAAGATCTGTCTGAAATCATGTCTGCCTGGCATTTTACATATTTATAGAGCATTTGAATTTCTGTATTATGGCATTACTGATTTTGTTTTGATGTTCAGTGTAAGAACAAGAATATATTTAAGAGACTTTAACAGATAATGAAATGATCCCTGTTGGACCCATGTTCATTTTACGTATGTTAACAGAATATACATAATATCATTTATTTGACTTTGGTAGATAAAAGAGGGTGCCATTGTTGGTTATGCAAAAAACTTCATTAGAATGCTTTCTTGAATAGTTACTCCAAGGAAGCGGGGTGCTGCACTTAACAGTAAACTGGAACAAAATGGCACCTAGATAAGATTAGTGGCAAGCCACTGCTGGCCAATGAATGACTTGCACAGACAAGAGAAGAATGGGTGGCTGTGAATATCTCTTGTCAGGTCAGAACAGTAAGTTGAAGCTTACAGAAAATACTTACTTGAAATAGAAGAAAATTCCCAAGGAAATCAACAGGGAAGTTATAGACATAGCATGTCCTACGATAGTCATGTAGTAAAGTATGTATACCATCTGAAATATCAAAAAGATTAAATGAAGGAATAACATTGTTGTTTAAAAGTTCTTTTGAGGTGAAGACATAAACAGTAACGAGGCCTAAACTTAAAATTAGCCAGCTGAGTCCTGAAGACCATGGTCCAAAGTAAGGAGGTCTGAAAGCGCTTTACTAGGGAGCAGCAGAGTGATATGGGCTTGGGAGCCATCATTTGAATTCCTCAAAATTCCTTGAATAGTATTGAACTGGGGCTCTGTGGAGAATTAACGTGGTGTCTGCCAGTCCTGGCCATCCAGAAATTATTTTCTAATTTCTAGATGGCTGCCCAAGGCAGCTGTCAGCCATAGGTTGTCCCATGGGCCTCAGGGAAACTGGTTGCTGTACACAGGTGTGACGCGCTGGTGCCAGCCTTGAGACCACTGTGTATTAACTCTCCCAGTACTTTGCCAGGGCCCTCTCATACCCTGAGCCAGAGCCTTCCGGTACTTCATATGTACTGGGGAAACCTGGCTTCAAATAAGTGGGTGATGCTTCTATCTTGCTTGGTTCTAAATAAAGTGAGGCAAACTCAGATCTCTTGAAGTCACATCTTGCATATTCCAATTACTTTATGTCTTTGCAGTCAATCTTCATATAACGATGTGGGCGTTGGGAGAAAAAAAATCCACCACTTTTGGTGAAACAGAATAATTAAAAATCAGAGAAGAAATGAAAGGAAGAAGATAGGAATTCATTTTCAACTAGAAGCATCTTGCTGTACATGTATTTTTCCCTCTGATGAATAGTAATCACTTTCAGATGGCTGGAATCAGTCCAAACTGACAGCCATGGTCTGTTGCACATTATTTCTGTTTTATTTTTCTCTACATTAAGGATAAATTATGGTCAGATTTTCCCCCATGAATGACATGCTTAATAGGTATCCCAGCCTCCCTTCCTGATCTACCATCTGGAAAAAATGAAACCTGCATAGATGCTTACTGAAAGCCTTTGAGAATATCATTACTCCTTGTTGCAAAGGGTCATGGATTTCCTGAAAATATTAAAGGCCAACTTATATTAGACTTCCCCAGATTACTATATAATGAGGGGACCATTGCTCAATCTAAATGCCATACACAAAAAGAGGAAGTTAAATCAACCAGCAATAGCTGATATGTTCAGAGCACAAAATAAAATAATAAAATAAAATAGGACTATTATTTAAAAATGAAGGCACAGTCTCCAGGAAATATTAGGCAAGGGCAGAGATTTAAAATGCAAAGAATGTCAAGAACGACTGAGATCAAGGGAGCAATGTCAAAGGGGGTAGCCATGTTAGTTTGTTGGAGTAATAGAGTCTTGTAGCAGCTTAAAGACTAACACTTGCATTCTAGCATAAGCCTTCATGTGCTGTGTCCATGAAAGCTTATGTCATAATATATTTATAAGTCAATAATGGGCAGGATCAGGCCCAATCTTCCATTCAGGAGTAATACTCATGGCTGCCTCAGCTAGAAAAGTGAGCTATGCTTTGTCAGTCCTGCAACTGATCTTCAGTCTTGAAAGACACCTGAAGGACTCCAGTGCTCTAACTTTTGTCCCTGCTAGGACCAAGTCAATATTTTGCTACCTCACTGGTAAGCCTTTGGGAAAAAATCTTTTGAGAGGTGGGACAGGGACCCTTCATGAAACATAGAAAAAGGAGAAGATTTTCTTGATGCCTCTGCCAGCAGTAATGAAAAGGGAGAAATTACACTCTTGTTATTCCCCCTTGCAATTCCAAGTCAGACTCTATCTGAGAATTCCACATTTGGCACAGGTGATCCCAAAATCCACCAGGGTGCTGGCTCAGAGGGTTCCTGTCATGGACTGTCTACTGACTGTCTCCTTGCTATTCCTTCTGGCTGCAGCTGAGACAGATGGTAAGGCAGGTGGAAGCAGCCACCTGCAGAAAGGAGATACTGTGTTCTTGCCATCCAGGTATGGCTATTTCCTCCTGTTTGGCTCAAGCTGAGCCTTGGGAGACTTCATAAGGGAGCTGCTGGTACTTTGCTGAACTTGAAAGGTGTTTGTGCTGTTGCTAGAACAGCTTGACAGTTTGTCTTTTTCATTTTACCTCTCCTGGTATTCTGTTGTATCTAGTTAAAGCCATGAGATAAGTTGCCATGGGGATGCATGTACCTTTGCTTGGCTCCGGTTGTGGGACCTTAGTGAGATGAGGACCTCTTTTTTGCTGCTTGATGGTTGGGTTGCTTGAAGTGACTTGTGCTTTTTTTCATCCCACTGTTCTCCCTTTTTTTGCTGTGAGTTTGATGTGGATGAGATACCTCATTCTTAGGACACTTAACATTAATGGTTTAGCAAATTACTTAGTGTGACCATGTTGCTATTACTTGCTCTGGAAATAATGATTAACTGAGCTACTTGCATGTCTAGTACATTTTCAAATTTTGGATGTGTGTTAGAGGAACTATAGTTGAGTTAATCTTGCATATGAATGATGTGTTTGTTTTTGTGAATGTCTTTGAACACAATGTTTTATGTAAAGTGTTGTATGGCTCTCTACTCAGTGGCTGAAATAAATAATACATCTGCACCCATAAACCTGGCATGCCAGACATGCATGTACATTGTTACATTCACGTCTGTGTGTGTTTTAATTTGCGGGAATATGTTCAACATCGGTGCCAATTCAGCAAAGAGGATGCGTAACTGGAATCTGATCCATGCATGCAGATTTATCATCTTATATGACAGGGATAAATCATGCATGCAATTCATGCCACAGAGTTGAGCAATAGACTCTAAAATAGTGTAACAAATAAGACTTTTGAATGTTGAACAAATGGAAGCTGTGTGTATGACATTCCTTGCCTAGGGCATGATGTGTGATTATCAGTACATTATACATAAAACTCTCCCCTTCTTCACATTCCACACACCTACCCACACACACACGTGAAATGCAGAGAGATTTCCCTTTGGCACACATAATTAATAGTACATAGGTTCATTTAACAATATGCATAGGCAGAGCAAATATCCAGCTGCTAAACAGGATTTTTTCAGAGACCCAGTTACAAGATCAGAAGAGGCTCAGACCTTGCAGCCTCAGAATGCCCCCTCACCCCCTGTGCAGCCAGCATGCAAAGAATGTACCGGCTACATTTCCAAGGTTGCATGAATAGCCTTGGAGATGGAGTTTGGGGAGTGTCCCTGGGAGCACTGAGGGGCGGAGAGTGGCCTCCAAGAGACGAGGTACCTCAGCCTCCTCCCCGCATGCTCCATAGAAGAACCTCAGCTGGATAGCTGAAATCGGCTGTCTAGTGCATTACAGAGACGTGCTCAGAGGGAAGCTTTGCCTCTGTACCCATCCTGTCCTCCATGGGATGTGTGTAATCCTGCAGATTTGGAGGGCCATGGCTGACTGGATTGTACCCTTTGTGTGTAGAACTTGTGAGCTGGATTTAGGATCACCTGAAATATAACTGAATGGGGTGGAAAACAAAGGAAAGGGAGCAAATAGCCCTTTGTGGCACATCTTGTGTAATTCATAGAAAATGTGTAGAATAAAAATGCTGTAGGAATCAATGCTGTATAAAACTTTAAATAACGTACCTTACGTTTTTCATTTGTGAAAGAATTGCACCGTGTGTAATTGGACCAAGTCCGGTTGCTTTCAGGATGCCGGAACCAGGTTCCTGTCTTATCACAATATTTTGTTGCTGTTTCTATGAATTAAGAATGCAACATGAGTAATACACTTTAGAAGTCTAAGTACATATAATAAATCTCATTAGTTTCTGCACATCTAATTAATGTTAGGTGACATTTAAATCTCATTTATCAGATCAATGCTACAGAAGATGAAACAATGAACTTTACTTCACTAATCACTATTGAGAATATATTCTGATAACTTCCTATAACCTGATATATTTGAATCAGCTCCATTTTCTATTATGCTTTCCCAAAGCCTCTGTGATAAAGTAGACATAAGCAAGATATTAAGAGGAATTGGATTGGCCATTCTAGGATAATGCATCACAACAGCTAGTTTTTTTTCTCCCCATTCATTTAAAGCTGGGCCAACTATCGCCTATCGCTTTTGTGGGGCCATTCATCCCCTGTGACAGTGTGTGGGATATCTAGAAACCTCCCAAGGGCTAAGTGACTGAATTTTAAGGATATTTTAACTTAAAATATGAGCTGCCCAAGGCTTGTATCATTCTGAGGAGTGGTGTGGATGTGCACACAGCATTCTTGGAACAAAATGTCTCTGAAAACACTTCTGTATCATCACACAGAACCATTTCCAAAGGCATTCTGTCTCAGGCTATTCACTGTCCAGGTCCAAATTAGGCCCCTTGGGGTTAGGCTAGCTCCACCCTTGCAATTGCATTAGCTTGATTCTACACTGTGTTATGTTATATTCTCTAGTTTGCAGGATCGACACTACCCTGGGGGATTTCAAACAGATAACAGGTCACCTACTTCAGATAGAGTCTTCCTAGCCTGAGGATACAGCTCCCATATCACCCAGCTCAGAGGATAACATCTCCTGTCCTCTGCCACGTGGTGACATGAGTTGGCTGAAGCAGATGCTAAAACTCATAGTCAGAATTGAGCAAGGGTGGAGCCACTGAAAGACCTCAGTGGCCTGAAGTCCTTTGCTGATTGTAGTCCTGAATATGGTATGGTGACTGTTAAAATTATGAGTTCTATACTAGCCTGTAAGACAGGGGAGGGCAATTCATGGCCCTCCAAATATTTTGGACTAAAATTCCCATCAGCCCTTGTGAGCACAGCTTACGCTGAGGGAACATGGGAGTTGTAGGCCAAAATATTTGGCAGGCCACAAGTTGCCCACTCCTGTTCTAATGCAATGTGCCTGAGAAACCTGTGCATATGTACAAAACATGCAGCTGAAGCAAGTTGCTGTCTGACAGAAATAGGTTCTACAAGTGTCTGTTATTTCCTTCTTAACCAAACCAAACTTCCCTATGGTGAGCAATATACCTTTGGGCAAGAATGCTGGTTGCTCAACTCCCCTGACCCAGATGCAAAGCAGAACAAGATTCATGCAGTGTTGTCTGTTTATATAAAAAGGAATTGGAATAGCTACTGTTTGTCATGCAAGAGACCCACACATACTGAAGGGGTAAGAGCAGGAGTGGGCAACTTGTGGCCTGCCAAGTATTTTGGCCTACAACTCCCATGTTCCCTCAGCGTAAGCTATGCTCACAAGGGCTGATGGGAATTTTAGTCCAAAATATTTGGAGGGCCATGAATTGCCCTCCCCTGCTGTAAGAAGTAGTTGCAGGGATTTTCCTGTTTTTCCAGTAGGTGGTAGTCATGCGGCCTATTGGCCCTGATCCAGTATTAAATCCCCAAAGAAGAAAGAGTCTTTGGCTGGTTCAACAGCTTCTTATGGAGATTACGTGAGCCAGCACTACTCCAGTGTGCTATCCAAGGTCCTGACATGACCCAGAAGAGTCCGTGAGTGCAATGCTCTGGTCTGCTCCCACCGGGCCTCACAAAGCCTAATCAGGGCAATTGTTCCTGCAGCTCATGAAGGGTGGGCTTTAGTTAATGTCCATCAAAATTCCTATATACGTGTACAATTTTTCTAGGATTATTTTAAACAACCAGTTATACTGTTGATTATAATCGTAGCTCAAAGCTTATATTTCTGTGACAGAGGGTGGGTGAGGAAGTACAAGAGGGAGATATTGTCACAATACTTGCAGCCAAAATCTAATGAAGTAATTAAGAGTTGTTTTTGCATAAAGGACTCTGGGATAAGTTTCAAAACCAGTAGCTTAACAACCATAGTAACAAGCATTATGTACAGTTTGAAGGCGGGTAGATTCTGCTTTGAAAAAGGTTGGAATTTGGTTTCCTTAGAAATCATAATAAGAAAATGACATTTGTATTACCAAATACAATGCTGCGAATATATGCACAGCAATTGCAAAATCATTCTCTTGTAAAACTGATTAAAATAGTCTGAGAATATTACATGATTTTAAGGCCTTTCTCTTGTTTGGACTGAACATGAGCACAGAAGACTGGTTAGCTGGTCTCTTTGGGAAGCAGGCATGCAGTTGGATCTCAGAGGGCACACATGTGGTGACCTGGCACTGGTGGGCAAGCTGGCCATGGAAAGAGCAAACTGGTACTGGCTTCTACAACCAAGAGTAGAACAACCCAGCCTCTTCTGTCTCCAGACACTTGCAGTTCCTTGAGAAGGACTGGTCAAGAACCACACTGGGGTCCCTTGCATGAGCTTGTTTGCAGTTGTCTTGTGTCTGCTAGAGAAGACAGCTTAGGTTACAGGGTTTGCTCAGCATGCTGAGTGAAACCTAGTTGTTAAATCAGGGTTAGTATGACCAATGACATGGCACACCCCCTTGTGAGCGTCTTTCCTTTTACCCCCAAAGCACTCAGTCTGAGTTTTACTGATAACAGGACAAAAGGCTTGTTAGGGATTCAGGAGAAAATTCAGAGAACAGAAAAAAATGTTCAGTTTCAGAGCACAAAGCAATAAGCAGTTTAAAGAAGCAATTCCGTGACAAATGACAAATAAATGTAAAATACTATCCAGCTAGCTCAGCCCTGTGCTAAACTGACTCCTTGATTATTTGAAGAACTGCAGTCTCCATGGTGCATTTCCTTGCTACCTGTCATTCTACCACCCGGACCAGAGGAAAAGACATTGGTGCAGTTTTCTCTGGTTTTGTGTCAAGCTCTCCTACTTCCTGGGAGCAATGCTCTTAGCATTGGCACCAAAAGAGAAAGGACTTTCAACTCCTTTTCCCAGTGGACTTGGTCTCCTTTGTTCCCCACCTCCCACCTGCCCTTTTCCAAGGTGGAGATTTCTCCTGTCATATCTACTTACCAAGACATTAAAACCACCCTAACCCCCTGGTGCCCACAACCAATGAGAAAAGGCGAGTGATAAGAGGCAATGCCTTTTCTGTGGTGGCACCTCGTTTTCTGAATGCCTTCCTCAGAAAGGCTTACCTGGTGCCTATGTTATGCTTTTTGGTTCCAGGTGAAGTCCTTTTTCATTGCTCAGACATTTTAAGAACTATCTTTGGTGCTTTAATTTTTTCTCCTGGTGGTTTTAATTGGTTTTATGTCCTGGGATGGTTTGACTCTTTGCTGCTGGTTTTAGCTTGGTTTTATTCTATGCTCTTTATATTCTTTTTGTTTGTACTTTGTTTTGACTGTATTGTACATTGCCCAGAGAACCTCTGTGACTGGGCAGTTTAAAATTATAGTAAATAAAAAAGTAAGGCAGGGGATGTAGTTTTGTGCCTGTCAGTTCTAGCTTTCAGTCACTGAGCACCCTCAATGGCCACAGAATATAGAGTTCACTTGGGGTGGGTGAAAGGAATAGAGTATTCTGGAAGAGGGGATGGCTGTTACCACCATTCCTAGCACTATAGGATGTCTGAGTTTGGCGGCTTGCATGCAGCAAGAATGTGGGGCACAGGACTGCAGCTTTAATTTGCCATCACAGCTTCCAGGCTGTATACGCCATCATCATTAAAGTAACATGAGAACACAGAGACGAAGTGTTATCCTTAAAGTGCATAAAATCATTTTAAATAAATACATAAATAAAGACAAATCATGAACTGAGGGAACGTGTTCATTTCTTATGACCAGGAACATGTTCTCTATAGAAACACTTGGAAAAAGCAGACTCTAGGCAGTCCAAAGGAAAAGACTTTTGGAATAACTATATCTGAGCACAGCAGCTCTGGGGATCCAATGTTCAAATGTGAATACGTGTCCAGGCAGTATACAAGAAAAGAACATATTCTCTAAGCTACCCATCAATTTATCTTACACATCATCTTAGATTGCTTTCCTACTATCTTCTCCACTGCATCTGTTGCCAGATATTATCTGAAGCTGGAAAGCAACTGAAGTCTTACACCAAGATTAAAGGTGGCTACGCAGTAGAACACTATGTACCAAATGTTTACCTAACGTCCTCCTATTGATATCCAAGGGATTGTTATATTAACACTTAATTCTCTCCGCCAATGAATGAAGAGAATATTGCTTCAGCTGCTTAGACAATCACTGTGACTTGGGAAGGACTGGGGAGGGGAATGAGGAGAGAAAATCTTTGGCCTAATAATTATGAAGTCTAAATGGTATGCCTCTTTTCCCCAGACCCTATTCAACAAGCCTGACTCATTGGCAATGAGCAAGCATAATCAATCAAAGGACATTTTCATGACAACCCTCTGCTCTGCAGGGCTATAATAAGGAGCAATAAGAGAGATTTTTGGAACTTTACCTCAATATTGAAGATTTGTCCCAATACGCTGTACAGAATGGAAGAAAGGGCAGGTTAAATCATCTGCTTCAATTGTGATTGATGTTTCATTGATGGGAAATAAGCTCAGAGGTCTGAATCAGAATGGCTTTAAGCCAGGACTAGACAATGTAAGGCCTGGAGTAATATCTACCTCGCTGAGCCATTCTCCTCAGTCACACGTCCCTGGATTACTCCAGCTGCTGCTTCTGTTTTAACAGTAGGGCAAGCTGCTTGTCCCACCCCCAGTCTAAGCTGATAGGAGGCAACGGTTGCTATGACTGTTCTCCATTTTAATTCCTATGGTGAAAATTGAAGGGGACACAACCATCCACAGAGCTAAATGGCTAAGTTCATACCCTTGGTTCACCTTTGCTATGCTGTGAGCACCAC